AAATACCTATTTTTTTTTAGAAAAAATAGACAAAAGACACAAACAGACAATTCACAGAAAAAGTGCAAATGACCTTAAGTACACGAAAAAAATGAAAAAATATGCCAGGCGCGGTGGCTCACGCCTGTAATCCCAGCACTTTGGGAGGCCAAGGCAGGCGGATCACAAGGTCAGGAGATCGAGACCATCCTGGCTAACACAGTGAAACCCCGTTTCTACTAAAAATACAAAAAAATTAGCCGGGCGTGGTGGCGGCACCTGCGGTCCCAGCTACTCAGGAGGCTGAGGCAGGAAAATGGCGTGAACCCGTGGGGCTGAGCTTGCAGTGAGCCGAGATCACGCCACTGCACTCCAGCCCGGGTGACAGAGCGAGACTCCGTCTCCAAAAAAATAAAAATAAAAAATAAAGAAAGAAAGAAAGAAAAGAAAAGAAAAAATAATTGATGCCTTATCCATCAAAGCTATCTTTACCATGCTCAAAACTTACAGACTACAATCCTATGTGGAAAAATGGAAGAGTTAGCATGTCCTAACAGTTTTCTTAGTTCAAGAGTTTCCTCTTTCACTGCTATAATGAAGCACAGTATCGTTAATAAAGGGTGCCTTTATTGTCTGTCTCCTGACTTGTTTATATCATTTTGTCTCAGAAGGATGTTTACTTACATGTGGTGGCTCATGCCTGTTATCCCAGCACTTTGGGAGGCCGAGGAGGGCAGATCACTTAAGGTCAGGAGTTCAAGATCAGCATGGCCAACATGGCGAGAATCTCATCCCTACAAAAAATACAAAAATCGCCGGGCATGGTGGCGTGTCCCTGTGGTCCCAGCTACTTGGGAGGCTGAGGCATGAATTGCTTGAACCCTGGAGGCGGGGACTGCAGTGAGCCGAGATTGTGCCACTGCACTCCAGCCTGGGCAACAGAGCGAGACTCTATCTCTAAGTAATTAAATAAATAAGAATTCCCCACTTTGGGAGGCTGAGGTAGGCAGATCACTTGAGATCAGGAGCTCAAAACCAGTCTAACCAACATGGTGAAACCCTGTCTCTACTAAAAATATAAAAAATTAGCCAGGTGCGGTGGAGGGCACCTGTAATCCCAGCTACTTGGGAGGCTGAGGAGAATCGCTTGAACCAGGGAGGCAGAGGTTGCAGTGAGCTGAGATCACACCACTGCACTCCAGCCTGGGTGATCCCAGCGAGACTCTGTCTCAGGAAAAAAAAAAAAAAAAAAAAAATTCCCTTCATCTTTTTTTTTTTTTTTGAGGCGGAGTCTCGCTCTGTCGCCCAGGCTGGAGTGCAGTGGCGCGATCTCGGCTCACTGCAAGCTCCGCCCCCCGGGTTCCCGCCATTCTCCTGCCTCAGCCTCCCAAGTAGCTGGGACTACAGGCGCCGCCACCACGCCCGGCTAATTTTTTTGTATTTTTAGTAGAGACGGGGTTTCATTGTGTTAGCCAGGATGGTCTCGATCTCCTGACCTCGTGATCCGCCCGTCTCGGCCTCCCAAAGTGCTGGGATTACAGGCTTGAGCCACCGCGCCCGGCCGAATTCCCTTCATCTTTACACGATTCCCTGAGCTACTTTTAGTCTAGCTGACCTGTTCAAAACACCCTCAACAAAAATATCCTCCTCTCAGCCAGTCATTTTCTTCCTCATATTTACAACCAGATCTGTCTCTGGAGAGACATTTCACCTTGAATGTTTGCACTCACTGGGCCCTGCTGTTTCTGGAGTTTGTTGCTTCTGGTGGGTTCGTGGTCTTGCTGACTTCAAGAATGAAGCCCACAACCTTTGTGGTGTTACAGCTCTTAAAGGTGGCAGGGACCCAAAGAGTGAGCAGCAGCAAGATTTATTGTGAAGAGCGAAAGAACAAAACTTCCACAGCGTGGACGGGAACCCGAGCAGGTTACTGCTGATGGCTGCAGGGTGGGGTGTGTCCAACTTTTATTCCCTAATTTATCCCCGCCCATGTCCTGCTGATTGGTCCATTTTACAAACCTCTAGCTAGCCACAGAACGCCAACTGGTGTGTTTTTACAGAGCACTAATTGGTGCATTTTACAAACCTCTAGCTAGCCACAGAATGCCGATTGGCATGTTTTTACAGAGCACTAATTGGTGCATTTTACAAACCTCTAGCTAGCCACAGAATGCTGATTGGTGCATTTTACAAACCTCTAGCTAGCTACAGAGTGCTGATTGGTGCATTTTACAATCCTCTTGGCAAGACAGAAAAGTTCCCCAAGTCCCCACTTGACCCAGGAAGTCCAGCTGGCTTCACCTCTCACTGCATTTCAGTGTATGTGTACTCACTGGACCCAGCACTTCTTTTAAAAATGCCAGCAAGGCCGGGCGTGGTGGCTCATGCTTGTAATCCCAGCACATTGGGAGGCCAAGGTGGGGGATCACGAGGTCAGGAGATCAAGACCATCCTGGCCAACATGGTGAAACCTCATCTCTACTAAAATATAAAAAAATTGCCCGGCATGGTGGCACACACCTGTAGTTCCAGCTACTCAGGAGGCTGAGGCAGGGGAATAGCTTGAACCCGGGAGGCGGAGGTTGCAGTCAGCCGAGACTGCGCCACTGCACTCCAGCCTGGCAACAGAGCAAGACTCCATCTCAAACAAACAAAGGCCAGCAAATACATGTAAAAAGTTAAGACAAAATTAGAAAATCAGCATTTTGTAACATCAATGAAATAACTGATTTGGGCAAGTATAATTAATGCATAGGTTGTTAGGGATGGGATATTTACTTTGATGCCAAAATATCGCCCCATAGAGCATTTGCTGAGTTCAAAGGGAAAAAAATGTACCTTTACAAGGAAAAGATAACCAAGTGATTAAATTTAGCGTCACCAACAGTGGAACCACCAGGCATTACATCCTCCTGCAGTAATTCAATATGAAGTACGCAGCATCTTTCCTGAAATGCAAACTCTGAATTGCATCTAGTACCTACTTGACAGCAGCTACAGTAGACAGAGGAACAAGTTAAATTACACCACGAAGAAACAATCAGACAAAAGCAGAAAGTGGGAAAACTACAACTGGTCTGGTGCAAAAGGTCAATGCAGAGGGGAAGAGGTGACCGGCTGTTCAACAGAGACTGATGGTCTATCACCAAATGCAGTGCACAAACCTCAGCTGGATACTGACACAAAAGAGCAGGACAAAGGCCATTTGGGAACTAATGGGAAAACAGAACTTTGTACAAATGGTTCCATCCCTCAGGAGGGGCACGGTTACACCACAGTAACAAAGAGCCCAAAATCTCAGTAGCTTAAAACAAAGATTGATTTCTCGCTGTCACTTGTATCACAATGTTTCAGAAGTGTGATGCTCCCCAGCCTGTTGCTCTTTAGGCAAGAGTAATTCTGAGGCGGGGTACGGTGGTTCACGCCTGTAATCCTTTGGGAGGTCAAAGCAGGTGGGTCACCTGAGGTCAGGAGTTTGAGACCAGCCTGATTAACATGGAGAAACGCCGTCTTCACTAAAACGAAATTGTGGTGGCGCATGCCTGTAATCCCAGCTACTCTGGAGGCTGAGGCAGGAGAATCACTTGAACCCGGAGGCAGAGGTTGTGGTGAGACGAAATTGCACCACTGAACTCCAGCCTGGGCAACAAGAGCAAAACTCCATCTCAAAAAAAAAAATAAATAAATAAAAAAAATAATAACAACTCTGCATCCCTTGAAGAACAAACGAGATGTTTACTGACCATGATGGATGGTTCACAGCAGTGTTTCTCAAAGTATGATTCCCCAACCATTTGCATCACAATATCCAAAATACTGCTAAATGCAAACAATTTATTGGTATGCAAATGATTTTAACTCCAGAGTCCCAACCCCTAACTACTGAATCAGAAACAGAACACCAGGGCTAGAGAGTCTACTACTAGCTTCTGAAAGTTCCTTTCAGTTCTGCAGGCCACTATTTTATAAAAGTTGCCATTTAAATGGATATTTTACTTTGCTAGAAATAACTAGAGTAGCACAAATACTGTTTATTGAAATATCAGGGTTTCATGTTTACACTTTCTTATATCAAGTACAATGGTATACATATTCTTTTTTGAGATAATTATTCTAGATTATAGGCTTTCTTCTAGATGTAAGTTCCTAAAACTTAGTTTACATTGATATCTAGATATATATCTTAAACAGTCTCCAAATTTTCTTTAATTAATCAAGGTATGTTAATGTCACTTGGAATTCTACATGGAAAAGCCAACAAAATAACTAAAACTTGACTAATGAAGATCAATGTCACTAATAAAAGTCTGCAACTGTAGTAGTAGGTTGGTGCAAAAGTACTTGCGGTTTTTGTCACCACTGTCGATGGCAAAAGCCCCAATTACTTTTGCAGCAACTATATAGTTTTATAGATGATCAGCATTTAATCCAACTTAGCATGTCAACTGGAAATTTTTCAAAATTTTAAAACTGGCCTTCTGCAAAAACCCCTTTTTCAAAACAGGCTTGACTGACACCACCTCCCTGCTCTGCTACCCGACCAAATAAATTGAATTTGTTTTTAAAGAGTTCCCTTCATCTTTACTCAAGATTCCCTGAGCTACTTCTAGCCTAGGTGACCTTTTCAAAACACCCTCAATAAAATTATCCTCTTCTCAGCCAGTCATTTTCTTCCTCATATTTACATCCGGATCTGCCTTTGGAGAGACATTTCACCTTGAATGTCTGTACTCACCGGACCCTGCCTTCCATCAAGCTGGCAAGGGCACAATAAAACCCTGATTGTTACATGAGCAAGTGACAGAAACAAAAGGAAAACTTAATGACATTATTACCTACATCTGATGGGCCTTTTAGCCCACTATACCTATTTTAAATATTCTGGAAATTATTTTTGTATGAAACAGGTATGATTTATCAACAAACTTTTGGAAAATAAACTCCTCAAACCTTATGCTGTTATGTTAATGTAATGGGCAAGTCGACTTGCCTACGTGAGAAGAGAAAAAAAAAACAACTACAACTTGATTCTATTTGTTTCATCCAGAAGAAAAACATTCAAAGTAAAATGTGAACATTTAATTACCTTTAAATAATATATGAAATAATTTACATGCTATACACTTCCAAACACACTGAACATAAATCCAACTTTATAGGACATACACAGTCTGCTTTTGCCAACATATATCCTGTAGGTCACTTACGATGTAACTGATTTCTCAGTCCACCTGTGAGCATATAAACACACAAATATATGTCTAAAGTTGAAGATTAAGATAATAAACCAGAGTTGAATACAAGAAGTCAGCCACAGAAGATTCTAAAACCACAATCAGTGACTGGAACACCAAGGCACAAAAACTTCCCTTTGTAGTCACAGAGATTAAGTTTCCATTCCCAGTGCTTAAATATGGAAGCAGTATTGGTTAATCACATACTATATTTTATAGTGCATTTCTGTTGCTGTTTAAAAAGGAGTATTTTTTAAATTACATAATGTATTACAGAAAAGCATTGGAAAAATAAACAGGATTAGATAAGCTCTCATACAATAAAGCTTTTTTTTTTGGTCTGAAAAAGATGTTTATGTTCAAAACTAATATAATAGAGGTGTAACACAAAGCAGCATGAGGGACCCTATGCAAACTGCCTAATACTCAAATTGTACCTCATGCCACCATGTTATTTAAATTTTCAGTTTTAAAGCCAGTTGGGTGATATTGCTAATTCCAAGTGATAGTTTTGGGGTTTTTATGTTTTGTTGTTTGTTTTTTGGTAATTTAAAGATATGTACTTTAATAAACAGAATAAACAGTAAACATAACATGGCAAAATGAAATCTTTCCCAGAGTGTAAGTTGCTTTTGTTAAACAATGACTTTGTAGTAGAATCTCTTTTTCTTTTTTTCTATATTTAACAAGAAGAAAAATAATGTTCCCCATAAAAATGACTTCAAAATTCATGCAACCATGCACAACCTAAACTATCTATACTTCTCTTTTTTATTTACCCAAAAGTTTTTGGGTAAACTGAAAGTTAGATACTCCAGGAACAGCAACTCATTGAGCAATAAGGCAGTTAAAAAATATACGTATACATATACTATTCATTGTTTCTAAGAACAGTTTTAGAGCTTTAGCTCTTTAAACTTACATAGTTGTGAAAGAAATAAAGCCAACCACAAAATAAGAATCAATGGAATGCAGTAATCCATATATAAAAGACAGTCAAATGTGCTTATACGTATTCAAGAAATCAATAATCTGTCTAAGCTGTAAATAATAAATTACCAAATAGCACTAAACAAATTATGATCAGAATAAACCTTCAGTTTCATTAATTTTGAATACGAAAGTGGGGCAGGCTAAATGTGAACAGTGTACTTCTACAAGTGTTTATATAGAAGTATTGTAGCATGCAACCCCAGCAGTAATGAGAGCACAATTCTTTACAAACAAAACAAGGCTGACCAAAAGAAAAACAAAACAAAAAATCTTGTTGTAGGCTGTAAAACGTAAGGGTAAAGAATCCACTGGGAATTTAAGGCTTTCTTAGAAATATTTTTCATGGCACTTCAACATTAAATATCACTAAAAGGCAAAATATGTAAATATTCATAGTTACAAAGCTACATAATTGAAAGCACATGCCATATCATTTATTAAGAAACTATGTTGTCAAATTTTGTTTTCTTGAAGTTAAATTGTACTTAAGGAAGGCTATTTATGTTTGGCTGAATTAACATAAATCATAAATGTCAATTCCTTAGTGTACAGTGCAAATTGTGTTTTGAGTAAATACATCAAATACCACCCATTTCTTACAGAATTGAATGTCATTCCTTGCTGGAAATGCAATTCAAATGACTTATCTCTCTCACAAGGGCAGTTATTATCCTTCCTTCAACTATTAGCCTACTGTTAAACCCTAAAATTGTTATTAGACAAATTCCTCTTGGTCATGCTTACAGACCATCCTCACAATAATCCTTTTCTTGTATTGCAATCATTGCAGAAAAAACTCTAGGAGCCTAACAGGTCATTCTTGCCACACCATACTCTAAGCTGACCACAGCAGGTTCTGATTTAGAAAACTCTTCTGCATATTCACTATAACGATTATCTGCCAGGCTGCTGCCCTCTATAGTTCGAAGAGCATCATTTACGGGTAGCAGAGTCTGCTCTTTAAAACACAGGGAAGTTTTGAGGGTAGGTGATTCAGGATGAACTGAATGCAACAATTCCTTGGTGAGGATGCCATCTGTTTGCTTATTTTTGCGCTGTTTAATTTTCTAGAACAAACACAAATTTGAAAAGAAAATTACTAACTGCATATACCACAATATGTTACATGAAAAAAGAAAACATGCTTTTTGCAAAATATGTTCTCTGTATGTATAACAAAACTAAATCTCAAAAAATTAGAAACATTTAATGCATATGACATGGTTGAAAATCCTAATTGTGTACAATTTTTTGCTGTGGAAAATTGTTAGTTTTTATGTTTATTAAACAAACAATCCAGCAAGACTTGACTGCAGGCGATCACTAGGCTTCCACACTTGAAATGGACATATATTACCTAGAAAGCATAACAGTTAAACATTTATAAAAAAAAGAAATGTATATGAAACATCCACCCTGAAAACACAACAAACAATCTTGTGTAGCTAAAGGGCTCACTGTATGAAGAGTTTTTCTTACATGGTTTTCCTACAGTGGCTTGTGAGGTAAAAATAACAGACTTTAAACACAACAGAACTTTATTTTTTTAACAGAAGATTTTTAAAGTGTCCTGCGGCAGAGTATGCTCTCTGAATTCTTGGACTGTCCCGATAATCCTGTAGTGCCTACTAACCTGGACTTGCCTCTCTTGACCATATCCTTCTACAATTTACTCAAGCAGTCATTACCTCCTTATATAAAAGATGACTAAGGTAGACTCCTGCCTGAGAGGTAGGCGAGACAGTCTTACGTTATAATTGTCTAGGATTTTAAAAATATATATGTACTTACTGATCCTTTTTGCTTATATAGGATGGCAGAAAAAAGATTATAGGAAAGTCTTAGGGTAGAGAGGGATTTGTTAAACAAGACACACCCAGAAAGCATAAAACATTGACCAATTTGACATGAAAATTCAAAACATCTATATATAGCATACCATAGAGTGGAAGACCATAGGTTGGACAAAGCCATTTGTAATATATATAACTAACAGAATTAGTGCCTGGCATATAAACAACTCTTACAAATCAATAAGAAAAAGGCAAATATGCCAACAGAAAATGAGCAAAGATTTGAACAGTCCGTTCACAGAAAAGGAAAACCAAATGGTCAACAAATATGGAAAGTCATTTAACTTCATTTGTAATCATGGAAATCCAAAACTGAAAACAATTTAAATATTCATCCATAGCTGAATGGATAGACTATGATATATTCATACAATAGAAAGTTATACAGTAGTTACTAAAACAGATGAATAAAAGCTGCGTGTATCAATATGGATAAATGTCAAAACAATGTTGAGCAAAATGAAGCACATAAACAGTATGGTAACAGTTTTAAAACATCAGTTTCTTAAGCAGAGTGGCGGGTATATGGGCATATACATTGTCTGTTTCCTTTTACACCTCATACAAACATTATAGATAGTCTTTGGTATTTTTCCAATACACAATAAAAATATTTTAAGTCAAGAAAAACAGTATTATGAATTGTGGATACAAACATATATAGTAAAAGTATAACAACATGCACAAGAATGACTAAGAGCAAATCCAGCACAGTGAATCTGCAGACCTCAAAATACATGGATGAAGACTGGCTAAGAGTATAGAGGGTCTTCAAATAGATCTATGTTTTATTTCTTTTTTTTTGTTTTTGTTCTTGAGATAGAGTCTTGCTCTGTCACCCAGGTTGGAGTGCAGTGGCACAATCTCGGCTCACTGCAACCTCCGCCTCCCAGATTCAAGCAATTCTCATGCTTCAGCCTCCCAAGTAACTGGGATTAAAGGAACACGCCACCATGCCTGGCTGATTTTTAAAATTTTTTTAGTAGAGATGGGGTTTCACTGTGCTGGCCAGGCTGGTCTTGAATTCCTGACCTCGTGATCCGCCCGCCTCAGCCTCCCAAAGTGCTGGGATTACAGGCATGAGCCACCACGCCCGGCCTATGTTTTATTTCTTAAAACAAGAACGAGAAAGATCTGAGGCATATATAGTAAATGTTAAAATCCCACAAAAGCTAGCTGGTGGGTACAGAGATAGTTATTGTATTTATCTATACATTATGCTATATACTTCCAGTATTTTAATGTATTTTAAAATACAAAGAAAGTGATTTGAACTAACATATTCAATCAAAGTAGGGTTGACCTGATTTTGAAGCAACTGCTTACTTCAGAAGTTTATACGCTGATTTACACCAACAATACAAGTATTAGTCTAATCGTAAACTAATTTCACATTCCAAATATATTAAATTAGATACTTCAGAATACTTACAGATTCTAGGTCTTTAATATCTTTCTCTAATTGTTCATTTTGCTCATTCATATTCATAATTATATTAAATACAGACTGCCTAGGATGCAGTGTTCGATCAAATTGGTGGTACATGTTCCTCCAAAACCTATATGACAAAAAAAAAGTTTCAATAAATTGTGTTTGAGAAAATTCAAATATAAATACTTCAATGATGTCAACTTACTTAAAATTGAAAGATATTGTATTTGGCTCCAAAACTGTAAATCTGTGAGATTTGGAACTGTAGAGAGGATTTAAATACTTCTTTTGGTCTTCCAAAAGAAACGGCCACAGAGAATAAGTCTTCTCCTTCAACCTTAATGTCATGAGAAAAACACAGAGATCTTTCCTATAGGTGCAAAGTAGTAATGGTAATATTCATTTTTATAAACCAGGCGATGGCTTCTGAAGCAGATTTAAATTTTAGTTTTTTCTTCTATTCACAGTCTAACCTTGTCTCACAATTCCGTATTCTCTCTAATCTCCTTTTTCATTCATAATTAGGTAATAAATAAAGCCATGTTTCTTGAACACAACACAGGTATAACATTTTCTCTCACAACCATATATTTTAAGGGATTCCTCTCAACTCACACAATTTCAAAAACTTGGTCTCTGTTTCACCTACTTCAAATCACCACAAACATACACATAGAACAAGACACTAATGTATCTTTCTGTCTGGCCTTCTTCTCTTAACCTTACATCTGGGCTGTAGGGGCAAGTACCACAGGGCAGGAACACATGTAAGTGTGAGTGGGTACAAAAAGGGAAACAGGCCAAATCAGGATATTATGCAAGAATTTTAAAAACCAATTATTTTGCAAATCTAAGAGTAGGTGGGCAAAGGTAAGAATGGTTTTAGACTGCACATTTACCAAGTAAACATAGTGTAGGTATCCGGAGGGAAAGCGGAAAATCTCCTCATTTTTCCATAACTCCTAAGATAACCCATAGGTGTGTCTTAGAGAAAAACTACTAGGAAATATCTACTTTTATTTCCATCTTTCCATGTTTGATAATGTTTGGCACTAATTAAGAGTAGTTTTTCCTAAAACAGCTCTGTACTCCAGCAAACGAGTCACCTCTGTGCTCCAAATTATAATAAACAGTTTTGAATCACTGTAGCATAGAGCTAAAGTCTCAGTGTTCTTTGATTGTTCATCTCCGCCGTTCTCTATTCACTTTTTATTCTCTTTACACATCTTTCGAATTTTCCACATGCTCTCAGTTCTGCTGTTAACTCTGTTGGGAGTGTGAGCATGTGGCTATCTTCAAATACTACCAGATTTAGCTTCCTCAGTATGTCCCTTGGATGTTCAAAAGTCTGTTAAGTGCTCTTTACTGCCTACTGCAGGAGGCAATAAAGAAATCCAAACTCAGAAGCCCAACCTAAAACAATATACATAGGACCTCTAAGACCTACTCCAGAGATCTTCCTTGTAGCAAAATTTAGGCAAAAACCCCTATCCCCAAAGATTGGTCAGGAAATAACATGAACTAGGGTCAAGTAGTGTCTCAGAGCTTTTCTCGGGACAGACGCGCTAGAGTCAACACAGCTAGATTTACTTTCCCCAAAGAACTGTCTGTTTAGAAATGTGGGGAGAGCTATAAGGCTCCATCTTACCTTAAAACAAACCAACAGTTTAAAATATTTTACACCTTAAAACTAGCGACCAACACACTCTGGGAAATTAAACAGCGTAAGGATTTCTCTGTTCTAAAATATATTAATGCAGACTGGAAAGAAGCATGAGGGGACTTCCCAGGGTGTTGGCAATATTTCACATTCTGGGTTCTGGTGACATAGGTGTGTGAGTTTGGTAAGATTTACTGAGCTTCATACTTACGCTATATGTACTTTTCTGTATGTATGCTACACTTCAAAACACACTTTATAATGTGTTTTTCCTATTAACTGAAAGGCAGGGGAATATTAGAAGGGTACTCAGCTTTAGAAATACAAAAAATAAAATCTTTACAATAAAATTTCAAATTGTCAAGATATTTTATTAAGTTTCAACCACGATTTTTGTTAGACCTCGGCTAAGTAGGGGGAAAAGGAGACCCTTTTAATTGAATCATCTTACTTGAGCTCTTCTCTTTCCTTTTGACAATTTCCAAGGAAGTTTCCAAACTGGCATGAATGAATATGTTCATGGATCTGAAGAAGAAATGCTTCACTGAATTCAAAGGCTTGTGGAAACTGTTCGGTCAAATGCCACACACATTCCAAGAACTGAGTAAACACTGGTGAGACTTCCTTTGGGTCACCATCCAAATGGCCACACCTAACCCCACAGAAAGTACAAGCTTTTAAAAACACCTCTGAAAGAGTCCATTGTTCAGGTATTGTTAATCTTAAACACACAAAAATATTCCTAAAGCATTGTTATAGTAGCACAAAAAACTAGAATTTTTATTGAAACCATTTATGAGTTTTTAAACTACAGCTTTAAAGGATCTGTTACCATCTCTAAATATAATGCAGCCAAAAAGGAAGGTAATAGTCATAAAAATTAACAAGTGTACTAGAATTGAAAGAAATTACAGAAAAAAATTAAACATCTTCATGTAAAATACAGTAAAAACCATGACACTCTTACCTCCCACCACGCATGTGAGTTCATAAGGAACAGAAACATTTTGGCATTCTAAACTTGGTTTACTAATTTTATAAAATATATGACCGTGTAACTGTGACTCACCTCTCTGAAAATTTATGTCCAAAAGAGATCCAATCCTTTTCTATTAAAACCTTAATGAGAAAAAGTAAAATTCACTTTCTGACTACTTTCAATTATTTTGTTTAGGCTGGATTAAATCTTATTAGTTTAAAAACAGTATTTACTGTACACTTTTAACTTATAAACAAAACAGCACAAAAAACCACAGGCAAAAGAATGCCAAAACCTTGATTCGAGGTGGGGTTAAAGAAGAATAAAAATGTATAAAAAGACATAGAGTAGTTTTGTGACTTAAATTATTTCCATTGAACTTTTTACATTTTAAGTGAAAAGAACATGTTATAAAGCAGTATTACATTTAAGTTTTTGTATATATGAAGACGACGTATCATAGGAAAAAGGCTAGAAAAATGTAAACCAAAACTGCTAACAAAGGTTAACTCTAGGTGGTAGACTGAGGTGGATATTTTAAACCTTTTGGCTTACTTGTACATTATTTATATTATTTATACACTACTCTTTTGAAGAAAAAAAACTAATGATAAAAAGACCAATTATTTTAATCAAATCATCTTACTTGAGTTCATGTTCAAATCCAAGTGTTAACATCTATCCTCTTGAATGGACTGACTTTATGTTTTCCTTGCTGCAGCTTCTCTACTTACCCACTCCTCTGTAAAAACAGATTTCTAACTTTTTCAGTCTAATCTAAACAAATATTTGTAGTATTTAGTATACTTTATCACTTCATTATACAGTCACCAAGCACATTCTTTTCATAGTGTCAAAACTACCAGTTTTAGCTTCTCTGAGTTTTCTCAAGCCTCTGCTTTTGGCAGAAGGCTATATACACCGATGTGGCTGAGGATGTAGTCGCTGGAGCTCAGGCACAGGCTCCAATCCCAGCTTCACCACTTTGTGTGACCTTGGCCAAGTGATCTTTTGGCTGGAGCTACAGATTTTATTCTGGTCTCTCTGCCATTCTTCTGCACAGCCACGTTTAAAGCATAACTCAGTATCTTTCTCCCTAAATGTATTCTTCGGCTTCTCTCAGTGAAGAGCCAGAAAGCAGCACCATCCGTCCTGGCACCTAATTCAGAAACTTGGAAATCATCCCAGAGGAAGACTCCTCTCTTCTATCCCACATCCAGTCCATGACCAATTCTTACTGACTCTACTTTCTTACTCTGTTGCCCAGGCTGGAGTGCAATGGTGCAATCTTGGCTCACTACAACCTCCACCTCCTGGGTTCGAGTGATTCTTCTGCCTCAGCCTCCTGAGTAGCTGGGACTACAGGTGCACACCACCACGCCCGGCTAATTTTTAGTACAGACAGGATTTCACCATATTGGCCAGGCTGGTCTCAAACTCCTGACCTCATGATCCACCCGCCCCGGCCTCCCAAAGTGCTGGGATTACAGGAGTGAGCCACTGCGCCCAGCCACTGACTCTACTCTCTTTTTTTGTTTGTTTTTTTGTTTTTGAGATGGAGTCTGGCTCTGTCACCCAGGCTGGAGTGCAGTGGCCGGATCTCAGCTCACTGCAAGCTCCGCCTCCCGGGTTTACGCCATTCTCCTGCCTCAGCCTCCCGAGTAGCTGGGACCACAGGCGCCGCCACCTCGCCCGGCTAGTTTTTTGTATTTTTAGTAGAGACAGGGTTTCACCGTGTTAGCCAGGTTGGTCTCGATCTCCTGACCTTGTGATCCGCCCGTCTCGGCCTCCCAAAGTGCTGGGATTACAGGAGTGAGCCACTGCGCCCGGCCACTGACTCTACTCTCTAAACATCCCTGGAACCCTGGAACCCATCACTTCCCCCTTCACTTGTGTGTTCCTCTTTTAGTGTGGTAAAATTAAAAACTTTTGTCTCGTAAGTTATTGTAACAGTGTCTACACTGGCCTCCTAGCCTCCATTCCCACTCCCTCTGGCCTTCAAGACACCAAGCCATCTTTTTAAAAAGCACATCTAATCAAGTTACTGTTTGCTTGTTTAAAACTCTTTAATAGCTCCTATTATCCAAAGAGGGGAAAGCCCCATTCCAGCCTTCTCTTCCTCAGGCCCTGACCCCACTCTATTCCTCTGCACCTAAGCCCCCTATTCTAATACTCACTCTGAACTCCATCCATCACACATTACCTGCAGTCACCAAAAGAGGTTATGCTTTGGTTCACACTGTTCTTATTGCCTGGGAAGCTCTCACATGCTCCCCATTTATTACCTAATTTCATTTGGATGTCTAATAAATAATTAAAGCCAAATAAGGTAAAGAAAATATTCCTTATCATATACTCTCAAGGTAAGCTGAGCATTATTTTCTTATTAGCAGCACTCCCGCTTGGCCTGTCCCAGAGTCAGTATGTTAGCAGCACAAAATAGCGGTGCTGAAAAGGGACTGGTGATTTTCAATCTTCCCTTGTTTTAAGATGGCACTGTATTTAATAATTCTAAACTCATGAAAATTTTCTAACATCTCTTCATTTAATTATGAGTTAAGATGTAAATTTTGAAAACATAAGTTAATCTGATCACACGTTTAAAAGCAAGCAAATAAAAATCTGATCATACCTTTAAAAGCAAAGAAACAAAAAGTAGGAACTAGGCCTTTATCTTCACAAAGGAGAAAATCTATTCAACCAGAAATTTTAATATAAAACATGGCTAACATGTTATTACACTTACAAATGCAGGTGCTTTAAATAGAAGGTTTCCTTCAGAATTTAATTTTAAGTACTCTCATTTGTGCATTGTTGTATTACATTATTTGTATTTGTTAGATAAAAATGAGGGACAAAATACTGAATATTTCCATTGCAACATTTTAGGAAAAAAAAGTTATTTAAATCTAAAGTTTATTGTCAGTGTTAGCACACATGGAAATGTGTCTAATTCACGGTTTCCCAACCTCAACAGTACTGACATTACAGGCCAGAACATTCTTTGCTGTGGGGCTGACCCCCCAGCAAAAATTTTATGCATTATAAAATGTTTAGTTAGCAATATCCCTGGCCACTCCCACAGATGCCAGTCTCATCATTTCCTTTAGTGCAAAATTGTCTCCAACATTGCCGAATGTCCTCTGGAGGGACATAAAATCACTCCTACTTAAGAACCATTGGTCTAACCAAATAAATCCTTACCATGAATCCCCTGATTGTCCTGTAGTAGGAATCCAATAAAAGAGAACCCAGGGAACAAACCTGGGAAGTCCTATCCCAACCGTCGGAACAATGCACCAGCACACTTGCATTTTCAACTGTTATTGCCTGAAAAGAAAGATCACATACATTCTAGCAACTTTAAGGTAAACCAGTAAGTTCTACTTGAAAACCATACTACCAGGTATTGTGTTACAAAGAAGTGCTATGCCTGCAATGATGTCACAGCAACGATTTCCAAAATATGCAACAAAATACGGTAAAAACAAAAACACAAGCAAATAAACAAAAAACAAAGAAAAAATGCTGCTTCAAAGTACTTAGGAGCATCTTTTTAAGTTTCTACATTAAGTGCTACATGATATTTTTAAGGCTGAAAATAAAGTGAAGCTCATTAAAAAAGTAAAAAATAATAAAAGTTACCTGATGAATAGATACCAGCCCCCAACAGAATGAATCTACTCCTTCCCAATCATTATAGACCCCAAGACCAAACATGAAAGATAAAGTGTTACTTTGGCCAAGAAGATTGCAGCATCCATAACAGCTTTGATATGGCGAAGCCATCCTGAGCTCTCCAAACCAGAGTAGAAATCATTGACGGAAAGCCCTTTAGTGCCATTGACTAAAAGAGGGATAAAAATATTTCAATTAGAATATGGCTAGAGTTTCTGTGGTTTTTTTTTTCCAAGATCTTTCTAGATAAGTGAATTAAGAAAGAAGACAAAATAAATAGGCAAGACTCTATAAATGAAAAGATGCTATTAAAAGCTCAATAACTGATTCTTGGATATATTTTTCTATTATTCCTGTGCTTACAAAAATGCTCCAATCTCTTTAAAAACATTGTAGCACAAGCATCTAAGTAAAAATAATCTTCTATTTTAATTTTTTAAATTCCACACTATGACTGGAATATTTAAATGAACATTACCATAAATTAGTATTTACTGTACTGACTACTCAAGAATATCTATCTAATAACAATTTTTTTGCAAAACCATTAGAATTGTTCTAATACAGTAGCCACTAACCAAATATGGCTACGAAACATTTGAAATATGGCTTGTCCAAACTCAGATGTGTAGTAAGTGTAAAATACACACCTGATTTCTAAGAGTTGTTGAAAAATATCTCATTACTGATTTTTTAATATTGATTACATGTTAACATAATGTTTTTAATATATTAAGTAAGGATATCATTAAAATTAATTTCACTCGTTTCTTTTTAATTTTTAAAATGTGACCACTGGAAAATTCTAAATTACATGTGACTAGCATTAGATTTCTTTTGGACAAGGGTGCCTAAAAAAGCAAGCAATAATATACCTTCCAATAATTTCTGAAGGCTGGACCTCATGACATGAATATTTTCAATTCCAACAAACTGAAATCTAATATTGGAATAGTTGTCTTCATTTTCATAACCTTTTCCAGCTGCTCTGTTGGCCATTGCATTCAGCTAAAATTAAAAGTTTTAGAAATTTAGAGACAAATTACTTTTCTCTTTTAATTTACCAAAATATCATGAAAATACTAAATAAGCTGTATTTTAGCTAGGAGAGAGTTTAAAGGAACTCATCAAAACTGAATAAGCTACCATCGATGTTTTAATAAGTAAAAATGCCACATGTTATTAAATAGTAAAGAAGGAAATAATTAATATGATTGCTATATAATGGAAAGGTCAAAGTTCTCATAAGTTCATGAAACCAATTCATTTATGTTTTTGTCAGTTTTCCATATGTTTGTAATATTTTAAAATTAAAAAGAAATAAATGTCTCCTATCTGATTTTTAAATGATTCAGTTGAGCAGAGCTGGCTGGCGGACTTTTCTTTTACAGAATGAACCTATAAGTTTATTTCAGAACAAGCCTACAGCACTGATCATTCTGAGAGCCACAGGGACCTGAAAATCAGATGTGAAATATGCTTCAGATTACTTGAGGTCTTCTATAGGAGAAATTATTGGAGGCCCATACACCATATAATATGGCACATAACCGGCTATCGAGATACATCTCTGAGAACTGGGCCAAAAATAAACTGGTCTCCAGGAAAAAACAGATTGCTCATAGGCCCATGGTCTTTAGCTATTAGATCAAAATGTTGTCAGTGGTCCCCTTAGGATCTGTCATGCTCAATTCTTCCAGGCTAGGATTTCATATAGTATGTTAACACAATTTATTAAAAATTCTTATGAATGTGGATAAAACGGAGCCTAAATTAGAAGAAAAGGAGCTCTTCATTTTGTGGATTTGACCTCAGTTTGGTAACAAGTACAGTTAAATTGTATCCTACTGACTGTAAAATCTACAGTTAGATGTTAAAAAATGCTTCCACGTTACTACTTGATTTACATTTAACTAGTAAAACAATCAAAGAATGATATATTTTCTGTGAAGATAATTATATAAATAAGAGCTACGAGGTCCTGAAAAACAAATCACTGTATCAGACCTCATCTTCAAAAATTCGCATATTACAATAGCCTTTTATATCTAATATTATCTAAAAAGTGTTCTAGAATTTTTCTTATAAGAGATATCACCAGCACTCTCAACTCCTAATAGTCTTTTATTTTTAATAAAAGATTATCAAAGTTATCAATTTCCATTTTTAAATAATAATAATAATAATTATTATTATATATATTTTTTGTCACTCAGTCTGGAGTGCAATGGCACGATCTCGGCTCACTGCAACCTCTGCCTCCTGGGTTTAAGCAATTCTCCTGCCTCAGCCTCCCAAGTAG